TGTTTTGTACACGTTTTAAAACACTCCACTTTGGCCTCTTCGTCAGTCCGATCGACCTCCGACTTGATACATACTTAGACCATCACCCACAGATGGTCCTCGAAGAAATTCGTGATCGTGACGTCATCAGGTGTCAGGTTACGTCACATTAAAGATGTATTTTTCACCATAGGGTTTGTACATGTTTTAAAACGCTCTATTTCAGCTTTCGTAAATCCGACCGACGTTACACTTGGTACACACCTATACCATCACCCACAGATGGTCCTTGAAGAAATTCGTGATCGTGACGTCATCAGGTGTCACGTTACTACACATTAAAGATGCACATTTTCCCCATAGGTTTTGTACACGTTTTAAAACGCTCCACTTTGGCACTTTCGTAAATTCGATCGGCTATATACTTGGTACACACTCAGACCACTACCCATAGATGGTCCTAGAAGAAATTCGTCATCGTGGCATTTTTTTTTTTTTTTTTAGCTGTTTCGGGCTACACACCGAAACAGCTCTTGTTTTCGTTAAGATTTTTAGCTGTTTCGGTGACACACCGAAACAGCTCTTGTTTTCGTTAAGATTTTTTTTGGCTTTTTCGCAATTTTGCGAAAAAGCCTTTGTTTTTGTTCTGGTTTTTTTTTTGTTTCTTTCTTCTTCTTCTTCTTCTTTTTGTTCCACTTAAAATGCCATTGACTTTGTGCACGTCTTTTCTGGCCCCCACTTTTGGCATTAATCTTTATCATACATCATTCAAAGTTAGCATAAGCATAGTCCCTATAGCAAAGATGTGTCCCGAATATTGACGTCATGGTGACGTCATCGACTAATTTATTATAGATTTTTGAATATTTAATTTGTAAATCCGTTAACGAAACTAGAAATGGGACGACAGAGGGCGTTATTACATAGTTTCGGCGGATTCCCAATATGGGTGCAACAGATACAGTGTTGTGTAGCCTCAAACCGTGGCGCTAAATATTTGGGTCCCCGGGGGACCCCTTACTGTAAGTGTGTTGGTAAATGGGCTTTCTGCGTCGGAGGGTTAATTAAAGGGAATATACAACATTTGCTTTTGCTGTAATTTTCAGAAATGGATGGAATTGGGGGGTTTGAAATATATAGCAAATGTAGTTACACTGACTTTTTTGAGGTTTTGGGTAAAAAAATGCTATAAAAACCAAGAAAAAAAAATCATTTTCCTGTAGTCTGGTTCCTTGACTCCATATAAGAAGAAACAGAGCAGTTTACATACATTGGGGAATTTTAAGGTCAGGGAACCAGTCTAGCTGGCTTGTACCCGTTCATAAGTGTGTAATTGATTGCAAACAAGTGCGATGGTCAATTGGGGCCATTATTTGAAAAAAAGCCAGTTTTTTAACGACCAGCGTTGGAAATTGATACAAAAATACCACTTTTCTTGAAAATGACAGTATACCAGGTGCCATGATTTTACAGGATGCTTTACACTGTCATTCACTAACAGTCCAGCAAGGTATTTCAAAATGATTTGGTAGTTTTATTTTTTGATGTTTGCAAATGTTGTATTTTCCCTTTTAATTAGGCCTTAAAAAAAAGGGTTATGTTGGCGTAACACGACCGACCCTAAAAATGCGGCCTACCCTGGATATTTTTTTGTTTTTTTGAAGGGAAGAAATATAATTAAAATCTATAGAAATGAATTTTAAATACGTTTTGAAACCATTTCTGACCGTTTCTCCTCAATTGAATGACGATAGCGCGCGTGGAACAATGTTTTGCACCTTCCTCTCAATGACACAACGAACATGCAGAAGATCGCGCAGGCAGGCCTACAGGCAGTGCGCGTGCGGAGATCGACGCACCATGCATGCATGATAGATGCACATGTACACGTACAGTACATGTATAGCCTCGTCCTAGACTGTTGCACGGCGCGAACTGCTACATACACTATTGAAAATACTTCGCTATTTATTCCATCTTAAAAAAAATAGTTCATTATAATATACATTATTTTAATTAATTTTCTACTATTTTACACGATAACAATTGATATATATTAATTCTAAAAATGGTAAACTATTCTGTAACCCCGGCGGCCGACGCGACCTGGACGCGAATTTATAAAAAATGTCGCCCCCGGCACGTGGTTACGCGCGTACGCCGTCGCATCATGGCGCCCGGGACCGAAGCGTACAGTGTTTCCATCAAGGGCAAATGGGGATCTTCGGTATTTTCGACCGTTTAATGCGGATAAATTTGAGTCTAGAGCTGGGGGTAATCGCCCAGAGCTGTGCCGATGGTGTAAAAGCGGGTTACACCGTGCTAAAAATACAAACTTCAAAGGAAGAATCGGTTCCATATAAAGATGGGAAAAATACAGAGTTGTGTTGCCAGTCTGCAACAAGTATTTGGATGATGGGAAAGATTTCCCCAAATCTAGGCCATTTAAACGCTAAAAGGTAAATATTGCTTGAATGTCCTATCCTATCCTATGCCTATAATTTGAATATAACATACTGAAAACTGAAATACAACAGCCAGAACTTTTTTTTAACTCATGGTTTTTATTTTTAATTAATATATCATTTTACAGATACAACAAAAACAGCAAGTTGGCTTCATGCCTCATCTGTCCTGAAGCACACTGCAGGCCTTGGTCTACCATGCCTTCCTTAAATTTTCCTCGATCTGACAGTTTTGTTTTTATTTGCACATCTAGAAGAAAGACATAAAAAGTGAAATAAATGTCACTCAGAGTTTAAAAGTATACAAATATTGTGTGTAGCCTTGTTTTCTTTTGTTATCGTGTACAACTACCGGCTTAATGTCACTTTCGTTGCTGGGATTAAAAAAAAATAATTTAAAAACCACCTACCTCCCCTTTTTTTTTGGCCCGTTACGCCAACATAACTTTTTTTTAGGCCTTACTAGAGCGCTGATTCCTCATTCTTGCGTGCGGAGACGCTTTGAAGCCGCTCTAGGCACAGACGTTTGAATTCATGTGCGTGTTTGTAGAACATAAAGAAATTAGATGGATTGAATTTTGAAAGTGTACTCTACATGCAACGCGCAAGTAGAACATACACAAACAACTCAAGCGCGTCATGACAGCTACAAAAAAACCGTCACGGCAAAAAGCATCTGCAGCGAATACGCGCATGCCGTTGCACTGTTTGCGTAGAGCAAAATGAAACGCTCATTTGCTGATCGTGCGTTTTGGTTTTGGGCGTATCGGCTTCGATAACGCACCGGTATGGAATACAAACGCAGATATGCAAATAGCCGTACAAAAGCCGTACAAATGTCTAGTTCTCCATAGGTTTGTGCACAAACATGGATGCGCCCATCAGGCAGCTCTTTGTACATCTAGTTAGCGTGTAATTTAATAAAGCTCTATGGTTGTTCCTTTAATTTATACGCTAGCGATTTCGGCGTTAGATACGGCGCGCCGCGCGCCGCGTCGCAACGGCAATGAACAAGCAGAACGCTCGTCAATATCAGGAAATATTGGTTACGGATAAGTTTCAGGCCTTTTATCAATAATTTCGACTCGCCCGGCGGGCTGGTTTGACTATCCCGCCGCTCTTTTCCCTCGCATCCTTAGGTCTAGTTTATATGTGAGCAAGTGTGTGACGTCATGACGACGTCATAAAAATGCGGTGTTTTTGACGCATCGGGAAAAGGCCCAATCGTCATAAAACTTGATTGGAATCCATTATGTGCCTATCAAATATTTCCCCCACCCAACCCCCCCCCCAACCCCCCCACTACCCCAGGTCCGGTGTCGGGCTAAAAACACTGTTACCATTGGCGTACTACAGAGGCAATCACTTGCGCGCCCCACGTATGTATGTCACTTAAATTTTGCCCGATGGGTGGAAATTCTGGCACTTCAAAAGTGACAATCCCCGAGTCTTGGGTGGGGCAGCCTGGGGGGAGGGGCGTGGGAAACAATTGATAGGCGAATTAACAACATACTTCTTTCTCGCGTTGTAACTTCAAATCTCTAGTTTTGTTTTTATCGTTAACACGGACAGGGGCTTGCTCAAATTAACATTTCCATGCATAAGTAAAACATCATTACGTTTTCGAATTTGAACACACGCCAAAAGTTGGTAGTAATTTCCAAACATGCTTTGGTAATATAAAAGCATAACGTGCGGTCCACATCTGCCGAACGATTGGATGAGGCACCGGGGCCGGAGGGCCTTATTTGCACGGATTTTGATTGGATGGAACACATCTGTAGTCTATAATATACAAATATTGAGTGGCTCAGCGAGGAATGGGATGAATATTATCGCAAGGTAAAATCTGGACTTTTCCATTTCACGAGGCGAAGCCGAGTGAAATGGAAAAGTCAAATTTGACCGAGCGATAATATTCCTCCCATTTCACAATTTAAAGCCACTCAATATTTGTTTTATATAACTGACATATAGATCCTTGTCATTTGATATATTTGAACTTTTATTTCAATACAAAACTGGAGGAAAATGTATTTCTCTCTTTGAAACCACCCCTTCACGAAAATGTTTGAATCCAACGCTGTAGCGCTTGCTTTTTGGAACAATACACGCTACGCGCAACGCTGAACGCACACACCAGCATGCATTTGCACACAAATGCCGCGTCATGATCCTAACTGTTGAATAGTATTTCCCATTCCCCATGGGCGGATAGTACTTTTTGAGCGGCGGCGTGAATGGGAGCAATAACAAATGTCACGTGATGTGAGTTCCACCAATCAAATGACAAGCATCTGTATGTCGGTTATATAACTTCGAACATTGCGTGTTTTCCCGGGGCATGCAAAAGAAATTAAAAAGCTTGGCACTGACGGCATCTCTTTTCCAAAAGGGGGTGCTTTCCAAAAATTAGGGGTTAAGTGGATGAGGCCTTAGAGATGCCGCATTAAAAAATCAAAGGCCTTAAGCATTGGGTATGTGTCAGATTTGCAATACTTTGTGATGAAGTTTACAGACCCTTGAGGTACGTAGCACGCACACCCCTGCCGTGAATCCGCCCTTGCATGGGGTATAAAAGCTGCCGCCGGTGGTCAGAATTTTTTATCGCAAGCTTGAGGCCAGTCACTCAAAGTCGAATACTTGTGCAGTCTCCTCAGGAGAGAGCAAAACTTGAGTAGTCATTTGACGGTTTACAGAATCTCCGAAATACTCTCCTAAAATGGACAAAAGCGTCGGAATTCTGGTGATCATGTTCATCGTGGCGGTTAGCGGGCAAGGTCAGTAAAAATAGGGAGACATGATCAGAGAAAACGATTCTTCTTTTTCTTGAATTGAGATGAAACTAAGTTTTTCTACCCACATGCTCTTCAGCAAAATTGATTTTGTTCTCCTTACGCAGTTCTCCTTACGCGGTTTTAAACAGAAAAGCTATTTCCTCGATTATGGACGCTCTAAACCGCTAAAACTATGAAATTTGTAAAAGCACATTCCATAAATATAATTATGTAGGCGTTTTTATTGTTTCATTGTGTCTATCAAAAGGGAATATTTTTTTTTTATCGCTACTCAATTAGGCCTATCACTTTCAAACATCATCTTTTTTTCCGGGCTGAAACCGAAAGTTAAAAATAGCATGGAGAGAGCAGTTAAAACATTAAATACAAAAGTATTGCCAATGTTCTTGATTTTTTTTCATTTCGTAATTCCTTGCCCGTGTTCTGATGTCCACCTTCAATGTGCACATCTTTTATAATTAATTTATTTATATATTTTTGTTCGCCAGAGTATGATCTAACGATGAATGACGAGTATGTTGTGGAACAACACCAGACGCCCTCAAGCAACGAAGTGGCTAGGATGATCAAGCGACTTGGTAAGAAAAAAATATATTTATTCCACCGTATTAAAGAATGGAATAACAATTTCTTGAAATCCAGAATTCATAAAAGACTTCGGTGTCTTACGAGTTGAAATACGTGACCCCCATCTTGATATGGCCTGCGTAGTTGGAAAACGCCATAAATGAAAGGCCGTTCAATTGATTCCTGGTGTGTCTTCTTACCTTAGCCCGATGGCGGAATTCTTCATCTTATGCAGCGGGTTAGTGTGCAGACAAAATCGCAAACGCTCAGGCTAGCAAATCCATAAGGATTGTTACAAAAAGCTGCAAAAAACAATAATTAAGAAAATCCGCACCAAGAAAGTGAATACTTTACATCAGCCGTAGAAGAAAATAATAGCAACTCATCCATGATTTGGACACAACTGAAGAAGGTTCTTCCGAAGAAACAGATATTATAAAATTCTATTCTTTCCCCAAATGGGGAAAATATTGACGATCCCAGTGACAAAATGTACCTCATAATTATGGGTTTGTTTCACAAAGACTTTACAATATTACTGGCTTTTGGCATCAACATTACTTTAATATGTTATAATATAATGAATAAGAATAAATCTCTTCAAGTTCTTCCAAGTCTAAGTTTAAGTTTATAGAGTAAAGTTCCTGTGGAGTTTTGAATACTTATAATAAAGTTCCCGATCGCCAGATCAGAGTACGACTGTGTGGACTCCGTCTTCAGTCTGTTTAGTCTCTAACAGTTTTTAAGACTAAGCTTAAGACTTTTCTTTTTACAACTCGTATAAGGTTTTACTGTGATCTATTTTAAATGTAGGTCTTGTTTTTGTAATTTTAAGTTTCATTGCTTTGACAGTGTTTTTTATAATATCTAGTGTTTGTTTTTTTTACATTTAAGATTAATGTTTAATTCAAATTCGTATTTTTAATATTTTAGCTACTGTTCAAATTTTGTAATGCGCATTTGAACATTTTATGGTATATGCGCAGAATAAATGCAATTTTATTATTATTATTATTATTATTATTATTATTCCAGATTACACCTGATAAAGTAAAGTATTTGAGACAACGATCGAAATGAAAGTGAAAAACATACAACAGTCGTCACATAAACCAAACATGAAACAACTGTAGAGCAATAACCTACATGAGATTTGCAAACTGAAACTGTTTTAATTAAAATGTTACAAATTCACTTCATATAAACCTCGACCATTAGTGGCAAGGATAGTGACACAATGAATTGAGAATGTGCAGCAACTCCAAAGTCTGGTCTTCCTAAGTGAAAAGGTTAATTTGGAGCGCAAGTCGATCTTTACGATACTCATACTTTGTGTGCAGATTGAAAAGGACAGTTTCGAGCGTACACCGCACTATGACTGCAGACGTTTGTAATTAATTTACATAAAAAAAAGTTGGACAGTGTCCCAATGTATGGTGCTTATCGTTTCCCTGATCATCATATACCAGTGATCTGCCTTCATGTATCTCTAACCGTAATTTGTTTATGTATGCAGATGACTCAACTTTATCGTATAGCTCCTCCAGTGTAATAAAATAGAAAGGAAAATGAATACAGCTCTTGATAGAATTCACAATTGGTGCGCAAGAAATAAACTTGCATTAAATGCCAACATAACTAAATGCATGTTAATTGGTTAATCGAGCAAAAAAAGCTCTATTACAAAATAGACGTGTGCATTGACGATAGTCTTATTGTTAAAGAGAAGTCTTGTAAATGCTTTGGAGTGGTTACTGACGATACATTAAGTTGGGGTCCACACATTGAATACGAACATTTTCGTCTAGATTGTGTATATGTTAAATAAAATTCGTGAGGCAAAGGAGCCTGCACACACTTTTTGTAAGCTTTTATTTAGTTATGCCAACTTTAGAGTACTGTTGTACTGTATATGGGGAGGAAGGTATTATCTCACGACAACATTCTCAACAAGTGTGTGAAACGAGCCGCACGGATAATCCTTAAATCTACCTCCCTCGAACCTTCAGGTGATATGTCTGCTACGTTAAGGCGGTCACACTTTCTGAAAAAGCTAAGTTTAAAAAGGCTATTCTTGTTTTCAAGATGACTCCTTTGTATGACGAATCTTTTCGCACCACTTAGACAGATTTGTTAAAACAGACAATCAAATAAAAAGACATTGCAAGTCCCTTTCACCAAAAAAAGGATGCTATGTCACAAGTTTCGCTGTGAGTGGTGCGGATATTAGGAATAATTTCCATTAACTATTACGAATTTAAGTTTCCTTAGATAAATCAGAGCGACGCAAATCCATCAGTTACTGATATTTCTGCCAATAACACACTGTTTTAAATTGCGCTGATCCATGGAGTTATAAACTTGGTTGTCACGGTATAAATTGAGAGCCGGATCGAGAATTTCTCCCGTTTCTTCCAAAAGGAATTTTGCCCTGAATTTTCGCCCATCCCGTGATCAGTAATTCATACCTTATATACTTGAATGATTGAAATGAACGTTTGTTGTACACATTTAGCTTTTATATCAGTAATGTTTCTGAAATAATTGTATTTTGACATATTAATGATCATCGTATATTTCGCCAATGCACTTTTCCTTATAAGTTTAACATGATCTAAAAATGTGTAATGTAGGCAGGGCCCCAATTACGGAAACTAATGTTTAAACTGTTTGGGCACTGCCTGGGTACAAAAATGGAATAAATAAATAAATAAATATCCTGCCGCCCTTTCGTTAGAAATGAAATTGTGAATATTAACGTACATTTAATAGACAGATTCATTTGATTTTGCCTGTTTATATGTTTTTAGCCATTGGCATCCAACGCATTCAAATGTTGTCAACTGAAGATCGCGATGACAAATTGTTCTGTGTGGTCTGTGAAGAAATGATGACTCTCCTGTATAGCGTGAGCACTGACAAGGAATTGTTGGTAAGTAAGATTCTCCCTTCAAAGTTGGTAAAATTAGCAAAGCTGGTGAATTGAGATGTAGTTTTATACTAATATTTGACACACGAAAATATTGCCCAGTTTTTAAAGTGAATAACGGAGGAACTTAAAACGTCGCCATCCTCGTGGTTTTGTTTTGTGTTTGATTATGTTTTACTGACGAGTCATAAATCCATGATTGCATTGACTGAGTGTGCAATGAATATCAAATATCAAATCAACATATTGCTTACAGGACCTGTTGCAAAAAGTCGAGAGGCAGGTCGCGTGTACTTACTTGTTCTCTGAGGGTTTCAAGTCTTACTGCGAAGACTTCGTGGACGACATCGAAATTCCAGACCTGCTCAAGGCGTTTGCAAACACCTATTTGGTCAGTATTTTTTGAAGCATAATGTATTTCACGCATATAGTATGCAAATAATTACCCTATATTGGATTAATGAAAATGCACAAAATTCTGTTCGCCATCCATTAGTATTTTTGTGGCCGTATACCTATCTCTACACGGACTGTCTGTAAACCCATTGTTCAAAAAAGAATAGAGTTAAATATAATATAATCATTTTTCGTTGAACAGAGTTCAAAAAAGAACCACGAACATTTTCCTTATGTCCAATATTAAAAATTCAGAATTACACTGATAGATTTAAACATCCATGCAATATTTAAATGTACAACTGTAAAAAAATACCCTATATCATTATAAACAGAGATAATCTTATTATAATATATAAGTTTATATATTTATACAGAGAAAGTAAATACATGTTAAGTCTCATGAAATGAACGAATTGCACAAAAAAATCTTAAAATCACGTGTACATAGCGTCGCTTTGCTCACGAAGTGACAAAAACCTCAAAATTTGACAAAAGTTCATTCTGAGATAATCGCATTTGAAGTTATTCATTTTTTCAAAAGACATTTTTGACCACTTTTCAGTAACAGAATTCGGAATTTTTTGCATTGTCCGATAGGATATGATTTGCTCTTTGTTAAGTCATAGTTGCTTGTTAAAAATATTTCGTAATTAAACAGCAATTCATTAATAAAACTGTTTTGCACTTCGTGAGAACATCAATACTTTGGGTCCCATATTTTGCCAATTAGTTTGTACACATTTTTTGTCACTTCGTGGGATCATAAATCGCGGAGGCTTTACTTATTTGTACTTTTTTCGACGCAACAAACTTGTTACTTTTGCGCGTCACAACAGTTGAGCGCGCGCGCGTCTGTTCTTTTCAACATCGTTCGCGCGCGTGTATGCTCCCATTCTGCCGCGTGCAGACCATTGTATAATTTCTGGCCCTGCTCACGAGGTGATTTTTTGTCACTTCGTGAGAACATTTTACACTTTTTTACACTTTGTGTAAATGAAAATTACTGATTTCAGGCTTTTTGTCAATTGTTTGTTTACAATAATTAAGAAAGTCAACTATATTTTGCCTTGAAACTTGGTCAAATTGTTCCTTGAGACAACTATTATAAAACGGCTAGTAAAACTAAAAATCGAATAATTATCGATTTTCGAGGTTTTTGTCACTTCGTGAGCAAAGCGTGCTGTACCTGATTTCATTGGCTAGTTAATCTTTTTAGCTCAGCACGTAGCTCAAGTTGACCGCACGCGGTGAGTTTTTCGCCTCACGAGGCGAAAGAAATCAAGCAGGCGAGATATTTGCCTCGAGAAACTCTGCAATAATTCACCGCACATGCACGGGGGAATGTTTGTGAGCTACGTTTTGAGCGAAAGGCCTCGAAAGACTTTTTGCTCAGCACGGAGCTCTCGTGTGCGGCAAGCTTTAGCCATTCGGGTCTGTCAATCATATTATACTCTTGGAGCAGCTTCATCACAACATAAGCTTGCCTCTCTGTTTAAAACTGGTTTGGTTCATACCTAAGTAAACAAAAACACTCCGTGTGCCTTGAACCGAACAAATCACTCTACTGCCCTCAGTTCTGGCGTACCCAATCCTAGTGCCATTTTCATTCACTATTTACACAAGGGCATTCTTTTCGTCATTCCTGAGGATTGTCAATTGCAGATGTACGCATTCAAATACAGTATTTTTTGTGTACTTTCTCACCTCTATATTTTATTAACAATATTAGTTTTCAAATTAGTTTTTGCCCTTCACCGACGTTTTTTAAACACTGTATACTCAGTATGTTACCTCCCGAGTGAAAGTTGGAAAAATCACTCGGGTGGGACTCGAACCCACGACCTCCTGCTTTCTAGTGCAGATGTCTTACCACCGAGCTAACGGGATGTTGTTGAGTATACAGTGTTTAAAAAACGTCGGTGAAGGGCAAAACCTAATTTGATTTATATCACCCCGACGCAAAATTCCATCTTATAATATTAGTTTTGATCTATTGTTGTTGTTGTTTTTTTTTTGTTTTTTTTACTGTCTTGATTTTAGCTTCTCCTTTTATCTTGTTTGCCATTTAGTTAAATGCATATCATTTCCCTGGCCTTTCCAAGTCATGGATAGAAAAATACATATATCAATTTGTTTATATTAATGCAGCGCCCTAATGAAAACCAGTTTGTTGCTGTTTGCGTTAAGCCTTAATAAATAAAGCATGTTAAAAAAGTTTGTATTGCCCGTCTGTTTCCCGTCGGTGTGTCATCCAAGTTAACATCGTCTTTAGGCTTTTATGTGTGACAGGTATAAAGGGTATAATCTTGCCAGGTTCTATTAAATCTTTAACAATGAATACACAAACGGTTTACTTATGCCTAACCCAGGAATACACACAGGCGCGGACCCAGAGGGGCGAGGAGGGGGTCAAACCCCCAACCCCCCTCCCCCAGCTCCGTCCCAAAAATAATGTTTTCCATAGAAATTCATGAAAAAAAAGGAACCCCCCCCACCCCCCCCCCCGCTCCGACACCGAAAATGGTTTTTGCTAGTAATAGTGTCTGCCTTGGAAAAAAATACGTTCAGAGCCAGCTTGTTTAGGGATAGATGTACATTATTCCGTGATATAGTTTAAATAATCGTCGGATTTGAACAGCGCCCCCATTGAAAGTATGTTACGAGCCCCCCCCCCACAACAACAACAACACCCCCCCCCCCCCCCGTTTTTCGATTTTACGAAGGTCAAGTGTCCTGAGAAAAAAACGTGTTTAAATTTCAGATTTTTTTGCCGATGAAGCCCCCCCCCCCCCTGCGAAAATTCCTGGATCCGCCCCTGACACACCATCGCTCTCAAACCTCGCCTTACCGGTCTATAATAGAATGATACGCCAGCTTGAATAACTCCATGTGTCCATTTAGACCACATGTCCGTTCCACCCGAGATAGCAAACGTTTGGTAGTGGCAAATCATTTGTTCCAGCACCATAATGGACCAAAAATGTACGATAGCTTTTTCTAATTAGTAGCTTAATATTTAGATAAGGTATCATGTTACACGTGCACATAATTGCCCTTATTAGGACTGAGGGGACGTAATGTTGCCTCTATCGTAATTTCCTTAAATCGACGTCCGATATTCCTAAAACTTGGCAGGAATGTTGGTGAGATGTTAATATACGATATGCAACCATTCGCTTTCGCTTAAGAGGTAGACGTGGCCCAAGTCTGGGTTTCGCTCCATCTGTGGCAGTTCTACGCATGCATAGCGCACACACGACCACAACGTTCTGTGCCGCAAGCTGCAAGTGGTATGCACTTTACGAACGATCATATACAGGGTGTTCAAAAAACGGTAATCCTAATTTAAAGGGTTAATATGGCTAGTAAATATATTTTAGCTATTTGTTTAACCCTAAAAGGGACGGGGGGGGGGGGGGGGGCGCAGAATCCGCTCCCTCAACAGTTTCCGCGATAGCCTCTAAAAATTTTTTTCGCAACCCGAGCTGTTATGACTATTTAGCCTCGAGCTTTGCGCATCTTTTAACACCAAAAACATAAAAATCGGACCACGGGTTGCCGCGTAGTGAAAAATTTGCCGGTGGAAAGCTGAATTTTCCCATATAGTATTACGTCATGTACACAGAGCAGAATTGCCATTCGTACATATGAATAATTAATTATCAATAAGTCCAAAACCTACTAACCAGTAGTCATGACATTTCTTGGGTATGTTTAGGAAGAGTTGCTCTATGCATGTACTGAGTTTCAAAATTGTTCGTCACTCGATGGCCGAGATTTTAGGGAGGGGTGGGGGCGAAATCCGCCCCCCCCCCCTCCGGCTGAGAGATGGTCAAAATAACCCGGCCCTTTTAGGGTTAATTGATTCACGATTGATAACTTAAGAATGACAAATAACGTACATTCCATGCTTAAAAATGGCACACATTTTTCCTATTAATTAGAATTTTGAGTATATGAACAAATCCTTCACTTAAGGCTTATTAACCTTATTATAATGCAAGAGCTTCAACTTAAGAACGCTTGTATCCGTGCATTTTGTTTGTAAGCACGAGTTAAAGTTACTTCCGGTGGTTGCTCCCTCCAAAATGCACAGGATGCTATGTCGGTTCTGAAGGTCAGTACCACGTAAGTGCCATCGCGATGCATCACTGCCATTGCGTACCAGCCTCGCCTACATGGGCGCGTGCGCGTTCCTCCATCAACCCCTGGCCGTGGGGAATATGTAAACAGCGACGATGACTGGCTAAAACAGAGCGTACTGCGCGCTTACTTCGAAGTCTGCGAGATCCATATCCGCTCACGCGTTATCTCCTACTCGTCAAGTAACGTACGATTTTTTTTCTAGACTGTGCGATGCCTCTTCGATTTAGATTCCGGAAGCCCAGTTTTACGCACACAAAAACATGTATTCTGGGTAAAGGAAATGGAGAAAAAAAAGTCTGTTACTTGTTTACTTGAAACTGAATGATTTGTGATTTACTTGTGATTTATTTGTGTTGTAAGGACGACAGATGCACGTAAATTTAATATAAATCCTTTTAAAGCCACGTCGAAATCTCATCATGCTCATGTTTGAAAGGATCGGTTCTACAAAAAAAACATTAACTTTAGGCACCGTGTCGCGCTTTAAATAATGACTTATATTATTCATGCCGACTTCCTATTTATCCGTTGTGTCAAATTTGAAAGCATTTGAACTTGCAAAAAATATTTTTGACCCAAAATGGGCAAAATAATGAGGAAAAGATGTCGTCATAATTTTAAAGTGCAATTTGGGCCCATGTGAACAGCCAGACTCAGATTCAGCACTATTGATTCAGTACAGCTGACCTTATTGCAGGTTGACACCAAAAAGTTAAGACGAACCTGAACTTGATACAGATGGTCTAAACCCTCACGGACCATAATACATAATAGGGGGGAACTGCACTTTCAGGTTATTGGAAATCTCATAAAATGCTTGTGTTTGTTATTCTTTTTTTAGTGGGCCGGAGGCTGAGGTATTAAGACCAATTATACCTTAACTTCTCTGATTTGAAGAAAACCTGCACCTGATGAAATATTACTTACAGGGTCTCGTGACTCTAACTCGATCATATGACAATGGCTTTTCAATGTGGAATCTTTAAAACTCAGGACGTTATACAATCACACATGTTTCAGCTCTTTGGGGAAAATGTAATAACACATTACAAGACCAAGCCCAGTATAATGTGGCTTTCGCGAATTCCCAACTATTGCCCGCGACATTTCAAAAGTTTAACCCTAAGGGGCCGTTCAGAATTTTCGATGTTTTAAAATTTCGATCTTTTATCCAAATTGTGGGTGGGTGGGTCAAGGTAAAAAACTGAAAATCGAAATTCACTTTTCATGGAAAAAAGAGCCAAAAAAAAAAGAAAAAAGATATTTTGACTTGCCTGAACTACGCGCAAGCGTTCCGATATCGCGATGCGCGTTTCTTTTGCAACTTCGTACCCTGTATATACATGTACTGTACATGTACGTCATTTACGTGTATGTAGACCCACTGTGGCATGAGAAGGAGGTGGTTTTTCAATAGACTTGGATTTCGGGCGTTTGTAGCGGTTAGGCCGTGCGAGGCAGCAGGGTACCAGGTGTACTAGATCGGCTCTATTACACGCCGCGGGCGTTGATTACCAATCGCTATAAAAACTGGACTATTCAACCCCTGGTGTCCAAGACTATCGCAGCCTGCGCTCGCTATCCGGTTCGTAAGTGACTTCGTCATACACGCGCACGCACCACTGACAAGGGCGGATCCAGAACACAATTTTCGGGGGGGGGCCAAAAAAAATTTTGGTCCCCCAAAAAAGTGGGTCAAAAAAATTACGGCGTGGGGTTCGGGGCCCGTTTAAGGGCCCCGAAAATTTTTGGATTCTAGATGCTCTGTGGTGCGATCTGAGGCAACTTATGACCACTTTAACCAATGTTTTTTTGAGGAAAAGATGGTGGTGTGCTCATTGCCTGCCTTTATTGCTATGTCACATAAAAACAAAAAAATTGGTTTCGTTTTTTTTTTGGGGGGGGGGGGGCCATGGCCCCCTTTGGCCCCCCCTGGATCCGCCCTTGACCACTGATTACGAGCGCCCATTGGATAAACACTCAAGTTGCGTTAACTTCCGGTTCCATTGGTGCCATGCTACACGTACAGTAAAGCATGGCTAAGTTGAGATGACGTCACACTTACGAACTGGATACTGCATGCATCATGCATGCGTGAACGTACAACGACGAGTGCGGCATTTCCACGACTCGACTGTAAACAACATGGCTACCACCATGGATGTCACAACATGTGCCGTCACACTCACAACATGCGAAATACCTGCCGATCTTTGCAGTTTCTGGAAACAGCAAAAGCTAATAATGAAAAACCCAAGTTCACCGTACGAAAGGTTTGTTTGTGCCTCATGTTTGCTGTCGAAAAGCTGCAAAGAGACAGCTTTCGCCTCCGCCCAGCAGCAATAGATTTTGTTCCGCAAGGACACGCAACCCGCACAGGCCCGCCAGTGGGATGTAATGATGAAGGTTGAATTCTTCAAAGACAAACTACAAAAACGCGGATACAACCAAGAAGATTTAGCCCTTCTTCCCCAAAAAGGCGAAACTCGCGTGAACTCTAAAAAGCGTGCAAAAACCGAAAAGAATATCCCGCTGGTCTTTGTTTTACCCTACAACCCACAAATTAAACACCCAGCTCTTAAGCAGGCCCTTCTGAAACACTGGAATCTGATCAGCGATAATGATTTTCTCAGTGCACTCTTTGCGACCCAACCCATCCTGGCATACAAACGACAAAAAAACATAAAAGATGGCCTGGTCCGATCAAGGATTAACCCATCTCCACCATCCAACCAAGAAAAAAAACTTGGATGAGGAGAACGTTCAAATCCTTTTGGAACTTCTTGAAGAACAGAACTAACATAAGGGTCATTTAGGCATGGATTTCGAAATAAAAATAAAAAATAAGGAATCCACTTTGATCATTACAAGAAAAGCTAACGCGTAAAATATTCTTTACCATCATTAGCAATAAAGTAAATACGTACAAAAGAATTAAACAAAGGGTGACTGATGAAGTGCGTAAAAAGGGCACAGAAAATATGCACTGTTTCCCCCGACACACAAAACATAAAAACAGGTGGGACGGCATATTATCACCGGTATAAATCAAAACATTAAGTGAACTAGAAACAAAAACCACATGTACACAAACCAGTCCCTGCGTCACCTAAACACCGGATGGGTTTTTTTGAAACTCCCGCTCTCCGGTTATCACCTAAATCTAATGGGCCCGCTGGCGAGGTATGTGTTGACAAGTTATAACCCACCCATCACCGCAACCCAGCAGTGGAACTGATTTTACTCCCTATATGCGTATTGAATTTCCAAAAAAGGAAAAATAACCTTAACAAATACGCTCTAGGCAGTTTAGTCATATAACTACACAGGTATCCATACCAGTGCTTGTAAGTCTTAAATAAACGAAAATCTTCCCTAGCTGGTTGCAAACACACTGTTTAAAAAAAAAAAGATTCATCAGCTCGCAGAGCCCCTCGTACTCCAATGTTATCATACATCCCATAAAAAGAAAAGAATGAGGAACGGCCCTGCTGATGCTGATAGCAAATCCCATCCCCCTCCCATGTTTTAAACCCTAATTCACAGCGGCAACTTTCTTGGAATGACCTTGGAACTTTCCAACAAGTTATTAATATCAACAGATTATTCCCTGAATTTTGCTTGCACAAAACCGGTTCTTCCTTGCTATTTTCCTAGCCAGAAAACCACTTCTTTTTAAGAAAACACAAGTCTGATAAAAACTTAAATGCATGGTGGCGGCCAAACTCCATTCCATTTAACTTAAAATGTAGTGGCGACATGTATGATTACGCTCCTTCCTACTAAACACATCTTTGCGGCTTCCAAGACTGCAACCTGTCATTCCCAACGGCATATCAGCTGGCAAAACACAAGAAAACTGAAGGCCACCAGTGCAAGCGAGGAAGACGGACAACATCACGCCGTCACTGAAAAGTTTTCTGGATGACATTTGACATACATGGGTATACATGTACATTTGTACATGTTCAAGTATAATGTACATGCAAGTGCATGTACATGTTTTGTTTTTTAACTTCTGCATATTAACAAATCAGTTTTTTATTAATCGAAATTAGGGGTGGGTGGGTCAAAATAATTTGGATAAAAAGTCGAAATTTTAAAACACTGAAAATTCTGAATGGCCCCTAAAGTGCCCAACTTCGAGCTTTTTTTTATAATTATTCAAAATTCTATTTGACAAAAAAAAGTAAATAAGTTGTAACACCAAACTTGTTGTATCTTGCTCTCTGGTATATTCTTGTTACCTTCAAAAGTCAATAGTAGTCACGCACCTAGTAATAAACACTGAAACACTCTCCTGAACACAGGGGAATTCCGCACTTTTGCAGAATCTACGTGTGTCGCGTCTGATACCCCTCCTCATACAAACTCTGTTCATTATCATAAATATTGTCATGATTGTCACTGTTAGCACCATCGTTATCATTTGTATCGGTATTCCAATGTTCGTCTTCTGACTTACCATCCAGTTCTGAAATATCCATGGATTATTCTGAATCAGAAAAGTAATCCCTTTCCCTGTCCAAATCCGATCGGCGAAAAAATACACTGATTTTCTCTGGAGATATCACGCGAGCTCGGTTTATGGGCGCCGCCATTTTGTCAACAAGTCGAAACTCAGTGTGACGCCCTCTCACAAGAACTCGAATTTAAAAATAAATACAGATCGTACATGCATGAAAATGGTACCATTAGAAAGAGCGAGAGCCCCCCTTTTGATAACATGTTTACTCTACCTCGTACATGTACGAGGTTTGGCGATTTCAAGCGAACATTACCTCGTACATGTACGAGGCGCGCTTTTGTACTAAGAAATATACCTCGTACATGTACGAGTTTGGCACTGAAAGAGTTAATCAGTTGACGACCATAAATATGTTCGCACGTACTAACAAAACAGGTGGGAGTGCAGTGGTTTGTCCTTGATAAGAAGTCAGGCTATCCCCAATGTATGTGAGTCTGTTGTCTAGAGCCAGCCTGCCTCCCATCAGAATTTGAGTGACAAGTGATGAGCCAGTTAAGTGCTGGAAAGCTACCTACAGCTAAGAAAGCCACATTAGACTGGGCTTGGTCCAGTAATGATCTGTTCGATTACTTGGTACCGCAAGGTGGATATATATAAAACAAATGATAACGGAAAATTTTGAACTAAACATTGAGCCGTTGATAAAAGTATGGCTTTTCCAGTGGAAACTTTAAAACTCAGGATGTTATACAATCACATATTGTTCAGCTCTCAGGGGGAAATGTAAGAAAACATCTGTTCGATTAGTATCGCAAGGTTAGATAAATCAAACAAATTATACCGGCGACAGGGGTTTTCCTTAAAGAAGTAAACAGGGGGAAATGTAAGAAAACATCTGTTCGATTAGTATCGCAAGGTTAGATAAATCAAACAAATTATACCGGCGACAGGGGTTTTCCTTAAAGAAGTAAACATTGAGCGGTTAATAAAAAAAAGGCTTTTCCATTAGAACTTAAAAAAAAAAATCAGGATATGTTATACAATCACAAATTCTTCTGCTCCTTTTTCACCTGGGCGTCACCACGAGGTGTTTTTTTTTTTGGGGGGGGGGGTCGGCGGCAAAGTACACTTCCCTCAAAATCGTTTTATTTTCTCTAGCGTATTCTAAATTTATCATTTTCTTTTCTAGGGTGCACCCGGGTGGGATGGTGACATTGCCCACCAACCCCCAATTGACACACCTGCAGACGCCCATTTTGTTAAATGTGTATTAAAATAGTGTTACGAACCCAGAATGCTTGATTATGGAAATCTAGCGCCCTCTGGATTCACTCTGTCCATGAAGTACACAATCTTCTTGTTGTCTTTTATAGTTCCTATATTTTACC